ATTAGGCATGTGCAGTGTGCATAGGAATTCATGATTTTTGGACGGGGATTGTGTTGCCCCCCCTCCAACAGTCTGATGAACTGTGAATTGGCCCTCGACTTAAAATGCAAGGCCCCTGCATTAAAACAATACAAAGATAAGAGACATTTCAAAAATGCATGCAAGTTTTCTAGAAAGGACTAAGAAGAGGTGCAGGTTTGTCTTCTCGCCTCTCACGTGCACAGGTCACACACACCCCATGGCATCACACCTTCAGGTGTGCCTTTAACAGGTGAGTGGATTCAGCCTCGTGTTGCCCTGCTCACCTGCAGTCAACCAGACCTGGGCCTCCCCTTGGCTGCACATCCACTTGGCTGACTGGGGAAGACAGGTTCCCACCTCAACTGTGTGGTTTTAATGGCTTAGTGGTTAGGGAGGAGGGAAAGATCTGTGTCTCTGCAGAATTAGGCTGTCTTAACAACTGGATGTCCAATTGTTCTGGATTTCCAAATGTCAAAAAACCTTTTTGTGGTTTTCTAAGTAAAGCAGGATCACAGCGGGGTTACTGCCGACACACAGTGTAGGAGTAAAAGCTGTTCATTGTGGAGCAAAGGATATAACAGCCCCACCTCTGCAACTGCGCCTGTGGTAGGAGTTCCCCCCCCCCCCCCTTTCCATTTAGTGGATTGCGTGTGTATTGATTGAGTCCTGCGGGCAAGTGGAAGCAAGTCCCTGAACAGCCACACTTATGGGGTTGCATAAGGAAGTGGGGAGGAGACTGAAAGGGAACTTTTTTTAAAAAAGGGAAAGAAAAGAGCCCTGATCCAAAACAAAGGAAGACACAGAAGTGAATCACAGGGTTTCGTTGAGTGAGGATGTGGCGTGGAAGTCGCATTTCAAAACAAACAAACAAAATGGCCTGGCCTGAATTTGAGTCTATGGAAACCTTTACAGTGTGTGAGAGGATCTTCAACCTTTGCCCTCTACCAACTGAGTGTGAAACTGGAGGAGGGGCTACATGAAGACATCACTTCCCCCAACCCCCATGAAAAAAGTCTGCCCCCATCAATTTTTGCTTTGGTACCCACATTCAGGCCCGTAGCCAGGATTTCGTTTCGGGGGAACACTGAATTTTTTTCAGGGGGGGTTCGGGGGGGGGGGCTGAGTCTGAGTGAAAGAGGGTCTACCTAGCAAACCTTTTGTATCATTACCCCAATACCCCCATGCATATGGGATATATTGAGTATGGTGATCAGATCATGATATGAATAAACATAACAGTTTAAATAATGCACCAGTAAGGCCTTTTCGCGAACCACCATGAGAATTTCGGGGGGGGGGTGGCGGCGGCCCCCCGAGGCCCCCCCCCCCCCGGCTACATGCCTGCCCACATTTGTTTCATTGCAGAGTACAAGATTGTGCACACCTAGAGACCTTCTGAAGGTCATGAAGTGTCCGAAGCGATAGAATGAATAAAGAATAACAATAGGGCCCTTCCAGGCAGACCTTATATCCCAGGATCTGATCCTGTTTTCTGCTTTAACGTGGATTATATGAGTCCCCACTGCCAGATAATCTTGGATAAACAGAAAACCTGGGATCAGATCCTGGGATATAGGGCCTGTCTGGAAGGGTCCCTAAAGGCACCAAATCTGGGCTCAGCTTGATGCAAGGATGTGATGCAAGGTCAGCCCTGGTTAGGACTTGAGAGGGAAAGACCAAATGCTTTTTCAGAAGGCTGTATTTCAAAGCAAGGAACTGGCAAAACCATGTCTTAGGATTCCCTACCTAAGAAAATCTTATGAATTTCAAGGAATGGGCATATCAACAAGTGACTTGAAGGCACCTCTCGCCTGGGACTTGTATGGGGAACATCTTTAGGTCCTGAGGCATCAAGCCTCTGGATACACAGCTTTCCATGAGCGGGTTGAGGGCAGAGTGTCCCGGAGCCCTCTTGTCCCTCTTGATCCAGAGGTTTTTGTGCTGCCCTTAGGGCCAAGGATGTCAAGCTAATTTCCATCTAGGGCCACATCATCTTCCCTGTTGCCATCAAAGAGCTGCTGAATCCAAGGATGGAAAATCCGTGGTGAGAGAGGGACAGCAATAACACTATGTAACAAAAACTGATTAAATTCTGTTCTTGGTTTGAAAGTGTTCTTTTCTATTTTATCGTGTGGTCATTACTTTGCAAGTCATTTTTCTACTCTCGTTTTTGTGGCTGCCACAAACTATGTTGGATTGATTGAGAAACGGCCATATAACCCAAAATATCAAGGCTGGTAACCCACAATATCTGCTTTGAACTGGATTATCTGAGTCCACACTGCCATATAATCCAGTTCCATGTGGATTTTATACAGCTGTGTGGAAGGGGCTTTGATGAGATATTCATTGAAAAACTATAGCAACACGTGCTATAGCAGGATGTCCCGCAACAACTAAGTTTTGACAGTTTCATACATTTTTCCCTTTGTTTTTATAATAGCACCAATTAGGAAATGACATTTGTAGCTCAGAAACAAAACTCGCGTTACTATCGCCCCTTCCACACAGCTGATTAAAATCTCACATTATTTGCTCTGAACTGAATATATGGCAGCGTGGACTCAGATATCCCAGTTCAAAGCAGATATTGTGGCATTTTCTGTCTTGATATGCTGGGTTATATGGCTGTGTGGAAGGGCCCATGGTGTAATTGTTTTACAGACTGCTTTTTCAATTTATATCCCAATTTGCTTCCCCAGATGTTCTTGAATGACAACTCCCATCCCTTGTGATGATCTGCTGTGCAACTGGGAATCATGAGAATAGCAACCCATCCGCACTTGTGACTCTGAGGTCAGCAAAAGGTGAAAGGGCATTTGAAAGCCAGGCTTCCTCTCAATTGTTGACTCTAAACCCAAAAGGTCCTGACTAAACTGGGCAAAGGGCAGCCTCCTAGATGTGACTGTGGGCCCTTCCAGACAAGGCCTATATCCCAAGATCCAATCCCAGGTTTTCTGTTTATACCAGATTATCTGGCGGTGCAGATTCCTAAAATCCAGTTTAAAGCAGAAAACCTGGGATCAGATCCTGGGACACAGCGTCTGTCTGTATGGCAACTCCCATCTGCACTAGTCATGATGTCTAATGATGTAGAATGTGGGAGTTGGAGCCTCAGAAGGACTGTTAGGGATTGTGGGATTTGAAGTCCAAAACACCTGGAGGGCTGAGGTTTGCCCATGCCTGGGTTAGGCAGTGGAGGAACTCAGCAGAGTCCTACTCCAGGCTGCAGTGGAAGGAGGTTTAACAGAGCCTTAACAAAACTCCCAGGGAGGAAGCAGCCAAGCTTTGAAGCTGCAAGGCAATTAAATGCGAATCAAGGTGATCAATTACAACATTCACACATGCCTCGAACAGACAAGAGTTCTTTCTTCCACCCTGGACATTCCACAGATATATAAACCCCACTTTCCTAGTTTCCAACAGACCTCACAACCTCTGAGGATTTATTTATCGTGTCAGAAGCGAAGTGAGAGTAAAGTTGTAATGTATTTAAAATCACAAAGTCTAAAAACTTGGCATTATACTAAATGTCCATTGACCAGTAGCTGGCCACTTGGAGTGCCTCTGGTGTTGCTATAAGATGGTCCTCAAGTGGAATCTCCTTTCCTGTAGTTTGAAGCCATTGCTCCATGTGCTACTCTCCAGGGCAGCTGGGGCAGAGAGTTCCACTGCTGAACAGCTCTCGCAGTCAGGAAATTCTTCCTCATGTTCAAGTGGAACCTCCTTTCTTGTAGTTTGAAGCCATTGCTCCGTGTGCTACTCTCCAGGGCAGCTGGGGCAGAGAGTTCCACTGCTGAACAGCTCTCGCAGTCAGGAAATTCTTCCTCATGTTCAAGTGGAACCTCCTTTCTTGTAGTTTGAAGCCATTGCTCCGTGTGCTAGTCTACCACACTGGAGCAGAGAGTTCCACTGCTGAACGGCTCTCACAGTCAGGAAGTTATTCCTAATGTTCAGAAGTGGAATCTCCTTTCTTGTAGTTTGAAGCCATTGCTCCGTGTGCTAGTCTCCAGGGCAGCTGGGGCAGAGAGTTCCACTGCTGAACAGCGCTCGCAGTCAGGAAGTTCTTCCTCATGTTCAAGTGGAATCTCCTTTCTTGTAGTTTGAAGCCATTGCTCCGTGTGCTAGTCTCCAGGGCAGCTGGGGCAGAGAGTTCCACTGCTGAACAGCGCTCGCAGTCAGGAAGTTCTTCCTCATGTTCAAGTGGAATCTCCTTTCTTGTAGTTTGAAGCCATTGCTCCGTGTGCTAGTCTCCAGGGCAGCTGGGGCAGAGAGTTCCACTGCTGAACAGCTCTTGCAGTCAGGAAGTTCTTCCTCATGTTCAAGTGGAATCTCCTTTCTTGTAGTTTGAAGCCATTGCTCCGTGTGCTACTCTCCAGGGCAGCTGGGGCAGAGAGTTCCACTGCTGAACAGCGCTCGCAGTCAGGAAGTTCTTCCTCATGTTCAAGTGGAACCTCCTTTCTTGTAGTTTGAAGCCATTGCTCCGTGTGCTAGTCTCCAGGGCAGCTGGGGCAGAGAGTTCCACTGCTGAACAGCTCTTGCAGTCAGGAAGTTCTTCCTCATGTTCAAGTGGAATCTCCTTTCTTGTAGTTTGAAGCCATTGCTCCGTGTGCTACTCTCCAGGGCAGCTGGGGCAGAGAGTTCCACTGCTGAACAGCACTTGCAGTCAGGAAGCCTTCTCTTCTGCAGGCTAAACATGCCCAGCTCTTTAAGCCGCTCCTCATAGGGAGCTCCTCGTTCTCCAGACCCTTGATCAATTTAGCCATCCTCTTCTGGACACATTCTAGCTTGTCAACATCTCCCTTCAACTTATCAAAGCAGTTCAATGCCCGGCGGCTATCTGTGTCTTAGAAATCCCAGGAACCCGCAGAAAGGAAGAAAGAAAGGCTGTGAGTCAGCCAAAGGAAGGGAGTGTGGGTGAGCCCAGTGGGGCACTGGAAGGCGAGCGGGCGGGCGCTCCTGCCCCTTCCTCGCCCCTTCCTTCCTTCCTTCCTTCCTCCCCCTTTCCCCCTGGCCCGGGCCCGGCCTCTCGGCCCAAGAGCAGCGGTGGCGGCGCCCTTCAGGGGCGGGCCTGGGCCTCGCTCGCTCCTCCTCGGGGGAAAGAAAGGGGCCGGCAGCCCAGCCCAGGCCGAGGAGGAGGCTTCAGTGGCGGTGGCAAGAGAGGAGCCTTGGGAGGCGACGGCGGCGTCGTGGTGGTGTTGGTGTTGCCCGATGGCGGCGGCGGCGGCAGCGGTGGGGCGGGCGGGGTCCCCCTCCCGGCCCAAGATGCCCGCCTGGGCCGCCCTCCCGCTCGCCCTCCCGGCCTTCAGCATCAGCGGCATGGGCCTCGTGTGAGTGGCTTCTCCCTTTCCCCTTCCTTCTCCCCCTTCCAAGGCTGGCATCTCCCTCCTGCTCCCAGGGATCCCAGATGTGCTGCTTGAGGCCGTGCCTCGGAAGGGGTCCTTGGGCAGGCCTGTGGTGGAAGGGGGCCTCCCCTGGGCACGGCTGGGTAGACTTCACATTGCTTGCACTTCTTGGCGGGTCTGTAGATTGTTTCTAGGTTGTGTTCCCTCCTCATCTTCCCTGTGCAGTCAGGACTTCCCCTGATGTATAGTTAAGAATACTTTTCCTCTGGGTGGATTACTTTGCACTCCTGGCTGGTCCTTGGTCTTGCAGCTCTTCTGATGCCTGTGGTGGAGTCTCCATCAGCCTGTAGAGCCCAGTTTAGGTGGTTCAGTTCAGCTTGGAGCAGTGGTTCCCAACCTTCCTAATTTTTTTCCCCCGTGTCAGGAGTGACTTGAGAAACTGCAAGTCGCTTCTGGTGTGAGAGAATTGGCCGTCTGCCAGGACGTTGCCCAGGGGATGCCAGATGATTTTGATGTTTTTATCATCCTTGTGGGAGGCTTCTCTCATGTCCCCGCATAAGGAGCTGGAGCTGATAGGGAGCTCATCCACCTCTCCCTGGATTCGAACCTGCAACCTGTTGGTCTTCAGTCCTGCCGGCACAGGGGTTTAACCCACTGCGCCATCGGAGGCTCCAACCTTCCTAATGCCACGACCCCTTAATACAGTTCCTCATGTAGATCCCCCCCCCCCCCGTGTCAGTAGTGACTTGCGAAACTGCAAGTCGCTTCTGGTGTGAGAGAATTGGCCGTCTGCAAGGACGTTGCCCAGGGGACGCCTGGATGATTTGATGTTTTTATCATCCTTGTGGGAGGCTTCTCTCATGTCCCCGCATGAGGAGCTGGAGCTGATAGAGGGAGCTCATCCGCCTCTCCCCGGATTCAAACCTGCGACCTGTCAGTCTTCAGTCCTGCCGGCACAGGGGTTTAACCCACTGCGCCACCGGGGGCTCCACACAACAAGATGAGTCCATAGCAGACACTCTGCTGGCTGTTGTACTGGATGACACACTGCAAGTCGCTTCTAGTGTGAGAGAATTGGCCATCTGCAAGGATGTTGCCCAGGGGACACCCAGATGTTTTACCATCCTTGTGGGAGGCTTCTCTCATGTCCCTGCATGGGAAGCTAGAGCTGACAGAGGGAGCTCATCCACACTCTCACCAGATTCGAACCTGCGACCTGTCAGTCTGCAGTCCTGCCGGCACAAGGTTTTAACCCAGGGGTCCACAAACCTTTTAAACAGAGGGCCAGGTCACAGTCCCTCAGAGTGTTGGAGGGCTGGATTATAATTTGAAAATAAATAAATGAATGAATTCTTATGCCCACTGCACATAGCTTATTTGAAGTGCAAAAAACACTTTAAAACAATACAATAATTAAAATGAAGAACAATGTTAACAAATATAAACTTAGTATTTCAGTGGGGTGGGCCTACTTTGGGCTGATGAGATACGATTGTTGTTGTTGTTGTGTGCTTTCAAGTAGTTTCAGACTTAGGTTGACCCTGAGCGAAGGCCAGGTAAATGACCTTGTAGGGCCGCAACCGGCCCCCGGGCCTTAGTTTGAGGACCCCTGGTTTAACCCATTGTGCCATCAAGGGCTCATATGATTTGAGGTGAGCCACAAGAAATGTCTTTCTGGGTTGTTGTAGGTTTTTCAGGCTATATGGCCATGTTCTAGAGGCATTCTCTCCTGATGTTTCGCCTGCATCTATGGCAAGCATCCTCAGAGGTAGTGAGGCCTGTTGGAACTAGGAAAATGGGTTTATATATCTGTGGAGTGACTTGGATGAGACAAAAAAACTCTTGTTTGTTGGAGCTAGGTGTGAATGTTTCAATTGACCACCTTGATTAGCATTTGATTGCTTGACAGTTGTTTGGTGTGGCTTGTTGGTGCCTAGGGCAATCTTTTGTTGAGAGATGATTAGATGTCCTTGATTTTTTCTTCTCTGTCCTTTCTATTTGTGGCTCACACAGTTTGATTTTTGTTTTGTGTGTTCTGGTGTGAGAGAATTGGCCGTCTGCAAGGACATTGCCGGGGGGATGCCCGGATGTTTGATGTTTTACCATTCTTGTGGGAGGCTTCTCTCATGTCCCCGCATGAGGAGTTCGAGCTGACAATCATAATGTAAATATCTGATATGCAGGACGTATTTTCCTTCACTGGACCAAATTTGGCACAAATACCCAATATGCCCAAATTTGAATAATGGTGAGGTTGGGGAGAAGATTTATTTTGCCATTTGGGAGTTGTAGTTGCTGGGATTTATAGTTAACCTACAATCAAAGAGCATTCTGAACTCCACCAATGATGGAATTGAACCAATCTTGGCACACAGAACTCCCATGACCAACAGAAAATACTGGAAGGGTTTGGTGGGAATTGACCTTTGGAGTTGTAGTTCACCTACATCCATGGAACAGTAATATTATTATTATTATTATTATTATTATTATTAATAATAATAATAATAATAATATATTGTTCTGGCATAAACTAGTACAGGTGGTCCCAGTGGTCATTGGCACACTGGGTGCCGTGCCAAAATACCTCAGATGGCATTTGGAAACAACAAACATTGACAAAATCACGATGTCAACTGCAAAAGGCCACCTTACTTGAATCTGTGCGCATCATTTGAAAATACATCACACAGTCCTAGACTCTTGGGAAGGGTTCGACTTGTGATTTTGTGATACGAAATCCAGCATATAGATCTCGTTTGCTGTGACATACTGTGTGTGTGTGTTTTTTTTTTTGTGTAAATAATATTACCATCTGCCAAAGAACTGGTGGGGATCACAGGCCTGAAAAAGTTATGGAAGATGAAAATGTCAAACTATTCTGGGATTTCCCAATTTGGACTGACACGAGTTTAGGAGCACAATACTCCTGACCTCACGATTGTGTTAAAAGTATGGATCATCAATGTCTCAGTCCCAGGCAACAGCAGGACTGAAGAGAAACCAACTGGAAAAGCTGACACGATATGAGGATTTAAAGATCAAACTGCAAGGACTCTGACACAAGCCAGTCAAGGTGGTCCCAGTGGTGATCAGCACACTGCGTGCACTGCCTAATGACCTTGGCCTGCACTTAAAAACAATCAGCGCTGACAAAATTACCATCTGTCAGCTGCAAAGGCCACCCTACTCGGATCACACACATTATTCTCCGATACATCACACAGTCCTAGACACTTAAGAAGTGTCCGACGTATTATCCAATACAACAGCCAGCATAGTAATCTTGTTTGCTGTGTACTAATCTCGTTGTGTATCAAATAATAAAAAAATCTTTATTTATATCCCACTTTTCTCCCTCACGGGACCCAAAGAGGCTTATAACGTATTAAAATCGTGTAAACAACAATCCAAATACATCGATAATAAGTATAAAACATGATAAAATAACTATTTAAAAACAACAGTAATATACACTCATATTCTTGTGGCATCATGTCAGATCATTTTGCATTGTGTTCCAGTCCATAAACATAATGGTGTTTATGTGGACAATTTCAACAGAAAGGAGGAAACCATGAAAATGAACAAAATCTGACTACCATTTTTTTTTAAAAAAACCGAAACACCCGTCACGACAGAACACCTCTCAAAAACAGGGGAATTCCAGAAAACCAACAATCAAGTGCCAGTGAAAGGGTGCCCCCAGGCAGCAATCAGCCAGATTTTGAGGGTGCAAGGCAATTGAATGCTAATCAAGGTGTCCAATTGCAACATTCACACATGTCTCAAGCAGACAAAAATTCTTTCTCCCATCCTGGACATTCCACAGATACATAAACCCCACTTGCCTAGTTTCCAACAGACCTCACAACCTCTGAGGATGCCTGCCACAGATGCCAGGAGATAATGCCATTGGAACATGGCCATGCAGCCCAAAAATCTCACAGCCATGTAGTGATTCCAACCATGAAAGCCTACAACACATTATATCAAATCTTTCCCTTCCTGCCCCCCACCTATGAACCCACCACTCTGACACTGCTCACTGCGAGTCCCGTATCTCATAAAATCTGCCCTTCAATCTACTTTAGTAAATTCTCCTTGCGGCCGTTTTAGGGCCCTTGCAGACAGGCCCTATCTCCCAGGATCTGATCACGGATTATCTGACAGCGTGAACTCATATAATCCAGTTTAAAGCAGAAAACCTGGGATCAGATTCTGGGATCTAGGACCTGTCTGGAAGCGCCATTAAAGTGCACATTTGTCTTCCTTTCCATGTATTCAAATGCCAGTCTCCATTTTTAAACAAACTCTTCATTATTTCCTCCCCGGATAGCTTGGTTTTATGAAGCTAACATGATGCATCTTAGTTTGAAATGCCATTTGAACAAGGTCTTGTAGGAACTTTCAGATGGCATTTCAAATTAAGATGCATCATGTTATCTTCATAAACAACCTCTCGTGGCCGAGTATGATTCTCTTCCAGGAGTCAGTTCTTGGCAGTGGGTCCGTAAGTGACTGTGGAGACCTATTCTGGATCCTCATTTCGCCATGAGGACATAGGTTTCCCAATGGAAGGTGGTCCCAATAGAGGTTTGCTTCCTCGTGGCATGTTTCTCTCTTCCATCTTCTATTTGAGCCTCTTAAAAATCCACATCACCTATGGAAACATCTGCCCACCAGTTGCAACATTCCCAGTTCTCAGTGTTTATGCTACATTTTCCAATGGTAGCTTTAAGCACATTTTAAATCTCTTTTCCTGCCTGCCGACATTCCATTTTCCGTTCTTGAGCTAAGAGTAGAATATCTGTTTTGGAAGACAATGATCAGGTATTTGAGCAATGTGGTCAGTCCAGCGAAGTTGATGACGAAGGATCGTTGCATCAATGCTGGTGGTCTTTGCTCCTTCCAGTCAACCTGTTTTCCCAAGAGTTTTGCAGGATTTCTGGGAAGCAACCTGATGGAATCTTTCCAGAAGTCGA